TTTTGTGACACGTTACTCTGACAACAGGAGCATGAGCCATTTTTCTTTATTTTTTTCTTAAAATTTTAGTCTAAGTAATAATTAGCGACCTATAAGACAAGTATAAAGAACTTAGAAAGATCAAATAAATTAAGCTTTTTGTGACAAAATTAATCCCAGTCTCTAGTACTAAAATATTAATGTTACATGGTATTATGGCCTACAGTAGATGGTGTCAGTGAGAAGATACACAACTGTATTTTTATTTTATTTTTTTTAAAATTTTATTTATTTATGATAGTCACAGAGAGAGAGAGGCAGAGACACAGGCAGAGGGAGAAGCAGGCTCCATGCACCGGAAGCCCGATGTGGGATTCGATCCCGGGTCTCCAGGATCGCGCCCTGGGCCAAAGGCAGGCGCCAAATCGCTGCACCACCCAGGGATCCCCCAACTCTATTTTTAAAAGCTAATAAAATAATTTACTTCATCCAGTTATTTCCCACAATCGGGAATGTTAAATCGGGAATGTTGAATTATAAATAAATATTTACATACCAAATAATATTATTTTTTTTTTTACAGAATGTTTACCTATAGGCTGGCTTGGTACCTATTTGCATATCTTTTACTTCTTATCCTAATAAACACCAGCCACTATTCCTGGTGGCAGGAAAAGAGAAGTTAATTACTTTGAATATTACCTATAGAAAAATTTCTCTGGACACAGTTTTGTTAAGGTTTGTCGTGTCTATTTGGGATTAATTTTTTTTTCAATGACCACACTGTGTACAATGATGACATTAAGGTTTCCAAACCTGAATCGATAGCAATTCAGACATCTCTGGGAATCTTTGTGCCTTCATCATGGGCTTGCCCAGCTGGAAATCCAAAGAGGTGACACTTGTTAAAATCTACTATTACTTCTATTAATTTCCATATTTTCTTCAAGATATTTAGTTGACAATGTGCCTCTACATCCAGAGTGGCTTTTCCTAGCTTCCAATGCCAGACTGTAATCCACTGATAAAAGCAGCGGCCAAAACATCACTACCCATAGTATCTGTGATACAGGAATACTGTAACAAGATCTGAGTCACAAGAAATTGGGGCTCTGCAAAGACACTCTCAGATTATTTAGAATTTTTATTTTGGCCCAAATTTCTAAAAGGTGGTGGGGAATTACGTGGGTTCCTTCAGCTATAACAATTTGACAGCTTTAACATGCCTACTTGAGGAGGGGTCACCAAACAGTTTGGGTCTCTTTTGGAGGATCCATCCAGCACTGACACACCGGTCAGGAGCAAGAGATGTGATTATTCACTGGAAAAACTGATATGGTTAACAGAGATGATACACTTCACACATTTGCATGAAATTTCCTCTTGGATATTTGATGATCCTGGAATGATTTGAAGTCTTACAAAATAGCATATCATATAGTCATATTTAAAGACACTAATTGGGGCACCTGGGTGGCTCAGTTGATTAAGCATCTATCTTCAGCTTAGGTCATGATCCCAGGGTCCTGGGTTTGAGCTCTGTGTTGGGCTCCCTGCTCAGTGAGGAGTCTGTTTCTCCCTCTTCCCACTGTTTGTGCTCACTCTGTCTCTCTCTCTTAAAAATAAATAAATAAAACCTTTAAAAAATAATTAAAAACACAAGTTATTGGAAGTTCTCTCCCTACAAAGGGGCCATGGGAGAATAAAAAACCATTGCTCAAGACGTGATATGGACAGCCATTGGCAATACCATCTCAGTGCATCATTGGCTAAGAGCTGGAAGTTGGGGAGGTGTGGATGAAGGACTCCCTGAAAAAGAAGAAGCTATTGAAATATCTGTGCATTGTCATAATCAGAATTGTTGTAAGGTGACCTGGGTACTTCTTTAGAATTGTGTGAGAAAAACAAGGGTACAGGTGAACAGAGGGACTTTATAGGGCAAGAACATGAGGAGAGCAAGATGTTACTTTCATAGGCAGACTCTTCAGATACCTGTTGTCCTGTTGAGGATTCTCCCCTACTAATGAAAAAGAGAGACTACTAACTATGGCAAATATTGTCTTCCATTGATTCTAGGGCTCAGTAAGAAAAAATAATCTAAAACTTGGAAATAAGCCAAAAAGACACAAGTTTGCCCAAAGGTCATCATCTTCTGGGAGTGAGTAATAAACAATGGCCCGCACCCTAGCCAAACCAGCTCTCTACCTGTTTTTGCTTAGATTCAAACTAAATTTTTTTTTTTACAATCTTAAGTGGTTGGGGGAAAAAAATCTAAAGAAGAATAATATTTTGTCATATGTAAACATTGTAAAAAAATTCAAATTTTAGTATCCATAAAGCTGTATTGGACTATAGCCATGTTTGGGAGCATCTGGGTGGCTCAGTCAGTTAAGCATCTGCCTTAGGATCAGGTTATGATCTCAGGGTCCTGGGATCAAGTCTCATGTTAGGCTCCCTGCTCAGTGGGGAGCCTGCTTCTCCTTCTCCCTCTGCCCCTGCTCATGTGTGCTCTGTCTCTCCCTCACTCCGTCTCTCAAATAAATAAATAAAATCTTTAAAAGAAGGAGATATAGCCATGTTCATTCAATTAGACATGGTCTAGGTTTTCAAGCTTCATGTGCTCCTTGATTTTTGCCTCTTAATAGGCAAGGTTTGTAGACCTCTTACCTAAAGGCTGTAACTTTGTTTTATTGTTTCTCATTGAAAAGTGTTCAGACTCCGGTGGTAATATCTTGTTATGGTTGATTACTTTTTTTTTTCCAATAGTATCTATTGGTAGACAAGATAATCCCAAAGGCTATGGTTTTATTTTTTTGTAAAACATAAATCAGTTTTGTTTCTAATTTTGCCACCTTATTCTATCATTCTCTTTTCTATTGTTCAGCTTCTTATAACCTTCTTTGAATTTGCTTTGCCACTCTCCTGGTTCCTTTATTGATAAGCTAAGTACGTCTCTGAACCGGCTGACTATACATTTATTTGAATATTATGTTTTCAACTTTATGAAAATTTACTTTGACTCATTCTTCTAAAATGGATTTTTATTAAGAGAACCCTGTAGTGGCTGTTGTGAGTTCAAATCACCTATAGTTTGCCAGTCCCATGCTCCTAAGTATTTGTATGCCTTTTTCTCATAATGCATAATGATGAAAACTGCAGGAGTCTCCTTGGGAGGTGAACGAATTGGTCTTAAACTACATGTCACACACACACACACACACACACACACACACACACACACACCGCCTCACAATCAGCTGGTGGATAGGTGCCTGGTTTCTTACAAGAGGTTAGAAAATTGCTTAAATTTTATCTAGAAATGCTAATTGTCTCCCATTAATGGCTTGTGAATTACATCACTCAAAAAACTTGACCAGATTTGGGACAATTTTCCCTTCACAGATATCACATGGTCAAAAGCAAATGATTGAGCCCAGACCTACAAGTCACAGTAGAAAAGTCCAGAAGTCCAGTGTAACCCCTTCCAAGTTTCCACCTCCTTCTCTGAGGGTCTTCTAAGGCTTATGGTATCTGACCTGTTTGCAGGGTCTAACTTAGGCAGAGACACAGTACTGAGTAGACACTGGACTTGCTGATCACATCAAAGCACCTAAATTGGTCAAGATCCCCTAATTACATAGCAGTGATAAACCCCAGGGTACGCGGGTCCCTGCAATGGTTCCCTTCTGATCAGAGGGCTTCCTGGTCTCCAATAGAGCAATCAGCAGACTGACTCCTAGAAAACCACATTTGGGGGACTCTCCGGCTTCTGCCCTTTCAAAGGAACACCCCAATCTATTCATTACCCATTTCATTGTATAACTTAAGAGACAGAAAAAAACTTGCATCGTAAAAAAAAAAAAGTCAGACTTAGAGCGAGCAATAAATAAATAAATAGAAGAGAGTGGAAGTCCATACTACTTCAGTGAACAGGTTAGAGGGGCGGCACCCCCACAGTGATACTGTAGATGAAACTGTACTTGTGTCTCGTTTCAGTGTTTTGCTGCTGTAGGGAAAGAAGGCAGTATACTCTTCCACAGCCATCCTTCTCCACCCAGAGTTTTTGTGTCTCAGAACATTGCTGCCACCCAGCATTTACTCTAGGAGAGCTTAATCCATCAAGGGAGGTAAAGTGGATTATCCTAGCAGGGAAGGGATGGAGACTTTGAGAGTAAGGGACCGTCGCAGTGGAGGGCCGGTGCTATGCGCTGGGGAAGAGGGGGACACGGGAACGACGGTGACCCCGTGAGTCTGGATTCTGAATCTAGGTGAACTGGCCTTTGGCCGAGCTGGGAGAGGTTAGGGATGGCCTTGGCCGCGTCAAGCCAAAGGGCGGAGTGGGGGGGAGGGGGGGCTGGCAGTGTCTCCGCCTCCCCTGAAATTGAAGATGAGCAGGCTACAGTCTGCACATCAGGTTATCCAGGAGCACGTTGGTCTGTTTATTTCCTTCTTGTCATCCCCGAGTCCGGGGTCAGCGCCGCCCGTGCTCTGCCTCCCAGGACTTCAGGGTCCAGGTGGTGGGAAGAGCAAGGTGAGCCGCGTCAGCAGCTGGAGGGAGGTCGCGGAGCAGCCCCCACCCCCCCAGGAGGGGGAGGAGGAGAGGGAGGAGGAGGAGGAGGAGGAGGAGGAGGAGGGGGAGCTCCCTCCCGCGAGGACTCGTGGAAGGCGCCCCCGCCCGACCTCCCCGCTGAGGCCGAGCGCGCCGGGCCGGCTCGCGGAGGCGGGGGCGGGGGGGGGGGGTTTGCAGAAGTTACCGGAGCCGGTTGAAGTGCAGCGCCGAGTGTGGGGCTGTGCAAGCGCTCACGGCGGCCTCCGGCATTACCCTCGCCGGGAACCCGCTACTCAGAACCCGCGTGGAGAAAGAAAGCACCGCGAACCGGAAAGGTCTGCAGAAGGGGCGGGACGCGGGAACCTCGAATTGAGGAAGGGGGCGGCGGGGGCGATCCCGCACTAGCAGCCAATCCAGCTGTCCTGGGGAGGAAGAGGAGGAGCCAGGGCCGCCCCCGGGGCTCCGCGCCGCGAGTCCGGCGCTGCCGCTGCCGCTGCCGCCCCCGCCCGCTCGGCCGCCGGGCCCCGCGCCTCCACCTCCGCCGCCTCCGCCGCCGCCGCCGCCGCCGCCGCGCCGCGCAGCCATGGCCTCGGGGGCCGCCCCCACGGCCGTGAAGGTGAGAGGCGCCGTCCCGGGGCTGCAGCCGCCCGGCCCCTGCGCTCGCTCCCGCCCCGGGGGACCGCGCCCCGGGGCCACGCGCCTGGCCTGACGCCGCTGAGACCCGGCCCGGCCGGGGTGGCTCGCCCGGCGCCGGGGCCGGGCCGGGGCCGGGGCCGGGGGAGAGAGAACGCTTGCGAGGCCCCCGCCTGCGCGCCCCCGTGGGCTCCGCGGCAGCCGCGCGGCGCAGGGAGCGGGCAAGCCCTTGGGGGGCGCCGTGCGCAGGGGCTGCGCCTCCCGCCCGCCTTCCCGGCCTCCGCGCCCTCCCCGGGGCCGCGGGGGGCGCGGGCTGGGGGGGGCGCCCCGGGGGCTCCTGGCGCCTCCCGCCGGCCGGACTCCGGCTTCCGCCCCGCCTCGGCTCGCGGAGCCCACGTGAACTGGGTGCTGGCTCTTTTGCGAGCTTCCGGCTTTTTTTCTTCTTCTTCCCAACGCGGGGCTCTGCCGTCCTGAAGTTTTCCCTGCGGCAGCGCTTGGGGAAGTGCCGAGACTCCTGGACTCCCGACCTGGATGGAGCCCAGGGCCGCTCCCTGTTTGGAGGCCTCGGGGTTTGTTTGCAGCCTTCAAAGTTAGAGCTCAGTTTGCTTGCGCCCGCAGACCTCACGGGTCCCGGCACAGGGGATCGCTGTCGGTGGGAGGTGGGCACGAGGGCTGAAGCGTGCGCCCACCTGCCCTGGGGCTCTCAAACGCTTGTGACCTGGTTGGTGTCTTGCTTGGGAGAGAGCGTGTGTCAAATTACAGTGCAGTGGGAAAATTGATGCTAGAACTTAAGATCTCTTCTAGGTTGTTTGGTTGGCTGAGAACTCAGTTAATTTGACTTTAGAAATTCTTGCCTGATGGCATAGGAAGGTCTGGGATAGATCCTCCTTCGGGTGTCTCCAGATCTCTCCGGTGTGTTACTCAGCCAGTGGTTCGCTTATCGGGCTCTTAGGCTCTTAGAAGGAGAAGGGGTGGGGTGGAGAGTGTTTGCATTCATACTTAGAGACATGAAGTTTGTTTTGCCACTTTGAAAAGCATCTTGAATTTTTTTTTAAATTTTTTTTTATTTATTTATGATAGTCACAGAGAGAGAGAGAGAGAGAGAGAGAGGCAGAGACATAGGCAGAGGGAGAAGCAGGCTCCATGCACTGGGAGCCTGACGTGGGATTCAATCCCGGGTCTCCAGGATCACGCCCTGGGCCAAAGGCAGGCGCTAAACCGCTGCGCCACCCAGGGATCCCAAGCATCTTGAATTTAACAAGTATTTGTAGATCGCCTCTCCCTTATCAGTAACAGAGAACAAGGCAGAACGTTTTTCCAAAGCTTATGTGCGAAGTAGGTGAGCCAGGGCCTTAGGAGCCAATCTGTAAATGGAGATTTTCCTACAGGGTTTGCTGGGATGGTTCCAATTATCTGTCTGGCACTGGTTGAAACTTATTAAAAGTTAGTGCTTAATGGGGGGCGGAGGGGGTGTGAAATTAATCTTGCATGACTTTTTTCCAGCAGTTCTGGTGTTTTATAGGTTATTATAAGTGTTACTAGGCCACAGCTTTCAGTGGGTAAGCAGGAAGTGCTCAACTTTCCCTTACAGGAATACACTTAAAAGTCATGTTAAGAGTAGGATGATTAAAAAAATTTCTTAAATGTAAATTCTATTTAATTAACATATACCATATTGTTAGTTTCAGGGGTAGAATTCAGTAATTCATCAGTTGCATAAAACACCCAGTGCTCATTACATCATGTGCCCTCCTCAATGCCTGTCACCCACTTATCCCATCCCCTTACCCCCATCCCCTCCAGCAACCCTCAGTTTGTTTCCTGTAGTTAAGAGTCTTTTATGGTTTGCCTCCCTTGCAAAGAGGGATGATTCTGAAAAAACAGTCTCACTTCAGTCTTGTTTGGCATTTTCCAGCCACGCAGCTTCCCTGCAAAATTAGTGCAGTGCATTTAAGTGCAGAATGGGCGCTGATTAGAGCCCTGATGTAAATATTGAATGATGTATATTTTTGGTTTTGGCAAGATGCTGAATATAAAATTAAGAGGTACAAATAGTGCTAGGCCAGCCTGCTGATTGCTCTCTGAGTTTAGAGAGGTGACAGTTTTGCTCTGAGAATCCATGACAGTGACACCCAAGTCCCCCAAACTGCTGAGGCATCATCCTCTACAGGAGATGGCAGGTGCCAGTGTGCAGAGCAAAACAGGTTCATAAAAACCATACCCTATCCTCTGATCATAGACTGCGGAACTGGAACATTTCTTAAGACCATATAGCCACACAGACCCCTTTTGGTGGACATAAAGCTGAGTCCCAGAGAGGCTGACCAAGGTGTTCAGAGTTACACAGATGGACCTAGATCAAGAATTGGGCCTAGAAACTGGTGTTCCACCAACTAGATGCTGTAAGGCAGTTCTGAAATCTAACATGGGGTCTTTGGGCCCCATTTTATTATGTAAGTAGGGAGATCATGCCACCTGTCCCCCCCCCCCCCCCCCCCGCCATGGACACTTGCCCATGTTATTCATGACAGCTGTTGTCTGGGAGGACCTCAGGGAGACATGATCCTCCAGCGTCAGACATGGGCAGGTGGTATGCATGACCATGCAGAGGGATGAACAGGTCTTTGGCACCCAGACAGAACATTCTAAAGGGCTCTTTCAATGGGCTATGGCTCCCCCAGGCAGCTGCCCAGCCTTTGTTCTGGAGGGTTAAAGATAAGCCTTATTAATCATGGTTCTCAGGACAAGGTGGGGATGTAGTCCTATCATAAGTGGGTAGTGGCCTACAGTAAAACTGCATTGAGAGACGGACAAGTCATGGAGTCTATACTGGGACGACGGACCTTTTAAGCTCTCCTTTTGGCTCCCTGATTATAGCTGGCCAAGGCCTTCGGACTGAAAGTCCCTAAGTGACTCTCAGAAACCAAGGAGCAACCCTCAAGTCCCAGTTGGAAGCCAAAGAACCAGCTAGCCTTCATGTTTTTGTTTAGTCCACAGTGGCATTTTGGGTAGGACAGTCCCTCCTTTTGTAGGACTGTTCTGAGCATTGCAAGACCTACAGCGCATCCTGGACACCTCCCCACAAAATGCCCCAGTCTTCGTGGCAGCCAGAAATGTCCCCTTGGGTTTCCACACACTTCCGGGAGAGCCAGTACACACTCGGTTTGAGGCACCTGGGCCAGATCCCTGATACAGAGACTGGTGAGGAGAGGTAGGAGAGCCCACTTTGTATCCTGACCAGCAGAGAAAGACCAAGAGATAAGGAGACTTTTGTTGTTGCTTGCAGGGATGTTTTTTATTTTGTTTCTGTTGGAGATGGGGGGATAGACAGAAATAATGACGGGTACTAATGCGTTATTTCATTGGATTCTCATAATTCTGCGGATTAAGGAAGAATCTGACCGTTTCCGTACAGATGAGCAAACAGGTGATAGAAATTTTTGTGTGCAGTGGACCTTCATCCTTCACTGTGATTGTGATCATGGTATTCTAGTCTGTGCCTCAGAAGCATCTAAAGTAGTAATTCTCAAAGTGTGTGAGGCATCCACACCTGCCGGGGGATTTGTTAGAAATGCACCTTATTAGGCCCTGTCCCAGTCCTGCTGAATCAGAAGCACTGGGTTGGGGGCCCCGCAATCTGGGTTTTGAAGAGCTTCAGTATAGGGCAGCCCTGGTGGCGCAGAGGTTTAGCGCTGCCTGCAGCCCAGGGTGTGATCCTGGAGACCCCGGATCAAGTCCCACGTCAGGCTCCCTGCATGGAGCCTGCTTCTCCCTCTGCCTGTGTCTCTGCCTCTCTGTGTGTGTCTCTCATGAATAAATAAATAAAATCTTTTAAAAAAAAATGAAGAGCTTCAGTATATTCAGATGCCCTCAAAAGTGTGACAAGTGGTGACCCAGAGAGCTTGGAAGACCCAGGCATCTGCATTTTTAACAAGCTCGCCAGGTGATTCGTGATGTACTAGTTTTCTGTGGCTGCTATAACAGTCACAACAGACTGGATGGCTTAAAACTGTGCAAATGCATTCTCTCACAGTTCTGGAGATTAGAAGTACAGAGTGAGTCCTACTGGACTAAAATCTGGGCAGCTTCTCTTGGGAGATCCAAGGGAGAGTCTGTTTCCTTCCTTTTCCATCTTCTAAAAGTCACCAGCATCTTTGGCATCATGTTGCCTTCTTCCTCGTTGGACCATCTTACAGGGGCGCTTATGATTACATTTAGGTCCTACCCAGATAATCCAGGATAATCTCCCTATCTCAGAGCTTTTGATTTAATCAGGTAAGGTGACGTTCACAGGTTCTGGGAATTAGGACACAGATAGTCACAGACAGTGACCTTCAGTGAGCCCAGATTTTGGAAATTCCTGGTCTGGGCCCTAGAGTGAGGTGCTCAGTGCTCGCTGCACATTAGAACTACCTGTGGAGTTTTAAGAAAACAAACTCTTCCTTTCCCGATTAAAAGAGTCTCTAGTATCTTGGACCTGAGCTTTGGTATTGAAAACTCCCCGTGGGATTCTTGAATTGAGGAACTACCAGGTGGGGGCACCAGGAAGATTCCTGCTGTTGTCCCACAAGTAGGAGGGAGCTCTATAGAATACAATAAACATTGAGGAAAATGCTTCTCAAAAAAAAATGGGCCATTTCAAGAGGTAAACTATATCTTCAAGAGGGTGTGTCTACCCATTAGAATAGCATCCTGACTTTGTAAGAGGAGATTGGATAAGTAAAAATGATGGATGTTCTGTGTCATAAGATTGTCTCTGACCAAAATGTTGCTTTACTGTACTAGTTTGCTAGGCTGCCATAACAAAGTACCAAAACTGGATGGCTTTCTTCATAGCCTGAGGGCTGGAAGGCCAAGATCAAGGTGTCAGCAGGGTTGGTTGCTTTAGAGGCCTCTCTCCTTGGCTTACAGACGGCCAGCTTCGTCCTGTGCTTCACACTGTCTTCCTCGGTGTGTGCTTGTGTCCTAATCTTGCTTTATAGG